AAAAAAAAAGTTATATTTTGGTGTTTTTGAAACATGACAAAATTAAAAAAAAAAAAAAACAAACAAAATTTATAAGATTATTATACAAATAACAAAATACAATAAATAAATAAGAACACAATCATGATGTCATTGTCTAAATGTACGAATATTTTCATCAATAACTGTTTTGTACTAATGAGAAAAATCCCATCATATGACTAAATAATGTTGAGTCAAAAACTAAGTATATCATATTGATTTTAATGAAATATGAATATCTTAAAAATAATTCGAACTGTTAATTTATTACTGTAGAGATACTGTACTGTAATTAGTATTTTTTTATGTGAATATCATTATCTTCTTCAGTAATATTAGAAAAAATTCATTGTAGACTTTGACCTTGAAACATTGTATAAAGCGAGGTCTTAACAAGAATAGTCTTATTGTAAAATTATCAAGTCATTTAAGTTTGTTTGTTTTTTTTTGTATCTTGAAATAAGAATATCAAATGAAACTTTCATAATAAATTGTTATGGTTGTCAACAATAAGATTTATCTGTATGAAAAATTTTCAAATCAAAATTTGAAAAATGATTTCTTCTTGTATTTCTATAAGCAAGACCATAGTCGTCATTTAAAACAAATATTATAAAAGATACGAATTCTTTTTTTTTTTGGAATACTTTATACTATAATTAAGAAATGATCAATCTTTGATTATATTTTATAATTTATTATTTTGAATTGAAATTTAAATATATACATTTGAATTTTATATACGCAAATACAATAATAATATATGAAAAAATAAAATTATTTTTTTTTTTTGTAGACGTTTTTTCGTTATGAAGATTGGTTGACGCTCATATTACGTATGAATATTGTCTATTTACATTATTAAATCATAGCCATTACATAAAAGTATAGTAATAAAAATGATTCAACATAGATTGTTTTTTACGAAAGAAATATATTTTTTTTTTTATTTATTTTGTTTTGCACTGAAAAAAATATGATCAATGCACCTCTATCAAATAAAGGGCATTCGAGTGTGACGCAATTTTTACAAAGCAATTCTATGTGTTGTAACTTTCGTTTCATTTAATGATTGGTTTATTTTGTCATATTTTTTTTTTTCTCTTTTGTTTCTTTTTTTTTACATCATCAACAAAACCATCAATATTGACAAGTTGGCGGCTATTTTTTTCGTAATATGTATTTTTCTTTTTCTTATCTTTAATGGTTATGGATGAGCAAACAGCGGGTTAATTCATGAAAATATCTTGATATGCCTTGGAAAAAAAGAACGAAAAAAAAATGAAAAGGGCAATGTACAGTGGTTTTGTGTGAATGACTACTACTTGTGGCGACGAAAAGATAGCTATCGATTGACGATATGGTTATCGTTGATATAATAACCTTGAAAGAGAAAAAAATCGAGAAGGAGAGATGTGACAGAGAGAGAGAGAGAGAGAAGGGCTACTACCATCTTCTTTTTTTTCTCTATTATCCGAATAGTATAAAAGCTGATGTCTTTTCTATGTATAAACGCTTTCGTTCGAAGCTTTATATTCTAGCATACTCCTTAGCACTAAACCTATTCATAAACAACAATGGTTGCCATCGATCGCATTGGACATGTCTACCCAACAGTTCATCTTCAAGATATGTTGACACTTGCACAAAAACCAGCACCATTAGCAACACCGACACATTATGGTAGTTTACCATTCAGTGATCCAGTAGCTAGTGTTATGAATGGTAGTGTAACGTCAAAAATTACACCTGAACAATTTGGTCTTGCTAACAATCCATCATTACAATTTACAACACCAGGCGGTGGTTTTGTTCAAGTTTTTGGTCCATTGAATACACCTGGTAATGATAAATTTTTTAATGATCCAAACCCAGTTGTTATTCAAAAGAAATCAAAACCAGTTACATACGTACAAAAAATTAATTTAGCTTATTATAAACCACCTGCTCCACCAGCTCCAGGTCCAGTTATTATTAAGGAGGTATATATATGAATATTTTTTTTTTCATAATGTACATATGAATTTTTATAGGTACGTCCACCTCAAGCACCACCTCCACCTCCCCTTTTTGTTCGAATTCAACCACCACCACCACCTGAACAAGCACCATTAGTCATTCGTGAAGCACCACCACCACGTCCAAGACATATTCCAGTAAAAAAATATTTTTGTATTTTTCTTTTATGCTAATCAATATTAAATCTAATTTATATTTTTCTAGACAACTCATTTGACAAAAGTATTACCTGCAATTCCTGTTCCACCACCCCGTGTTCAAATACGTAATGCTCCTGATCAAGCAACAGTTGAACAAACTTTGAATAATTTGGGTCTTACAGCAAGATTACAATAAAAAAAAAACAAAATTACAACAACATAGACTATGTTTTTTTTTTTTCTTTGTTCGTATTTGTATGATGAGTATAGATAATTTATTTTTATACATTAATCTTTGTAACGGTGGCTTGTGCGAGTATGCAATCAATCTATTTAGTTATTCATCTATTCATTATCTTATCTTATCTTTCTTTTTTTCCTTTTTTCCTGTGCATGAAATATGTATTTTGTGAAATCATTCGAATTTTTTTATTATTTTATTTTGTATTCGTTTCCTGTATCATCGATATGACAATGTGGAATCTTCCATAGTATTTCTGGTCATAAATGGTACAGTTGAAACGAACAAATAATTTTGATAAATACGAATGATCAACACGCAAACTACATTTCGAATATTTAATGTTCGAAAAAAAAGAAAAATTTTTAGTAAAAATATTATAAAAAAGCATAATTCTAAAATTAACAAAAAAAATAAAGTAATCATCATTGTTTTTTTTCAAATCATTCTTATTTTCAATATTTATCTTATTCAAAATCACATATTATTGATACATATTGCTTATAGAAGAGTTTGATAACTACAAGAAAACGCATAACCATCATTAAAGTTAATCATGTGATATGCACTTATAATGAGGTATTATTGCGTCATTCAAGACGTAAAAAATGACGAGTTAAAAAAAAATAGGTAATAAATACAACAGAGCTGACGTTTCGTATATATGTATATACATATATATATATTTTGATTTGACAGCACATGAATGACGTTAATATATTGTAATATAATGAAATTTTTAATGAGAAACAAGACGAACTATTACTGATAAGAGGTTAACTATGAAGGACGTCTAGGTAAAAAAATGAGAAATGATTCACTGAATTTAAAGTAAATAGGATCAAGGTAAAGAATGATCAAAACATAATAGTTATATGAGATTTAAACAAAAAAAACTTGTTTGAAAGTGAAATCGAGATCAGATGAATTCAAGAATATATATGGGCGTGACCAGTCGTGTTGGTACCCCAAAATATATGATAGGAAATAATATTATGTCAGGTAGGACTATATAATGAGTTTTATACCAAATGAAAGCTCGTCAAAAATGGGATTTATTGGTACTAAACA